TTTGCACTATTTTAAACCGAACAGATTGGGCACTTAGAGTTACGTAACTTTGATAACAGCATCTGATTTCATCCTTATGGGGATCCTAATTCTAGTACTAACTTCTAAAAATTAAGACAATTTTTACTAGACTTTCAAACCAGTCACTTATACATCTACAATTAGTTTAACTTAAGATCCTAAAATTGGACTAATTCAGCCCCCTCTGGATGATCCTCAACCTAACAATTCAGATAGAAAACAAACTGAATCGACTTGTCAGCACCAAAAATACTTCTTGTCAGAGAACAGACACCTTGGTGCTTTAGTTTCCAAATTTGCCCTGGTCCTTGCTCTCGCCTAAATTATAGCTTTCCTGTTCCTGAACAGAACCACAGTCCTGACCAGCCACCCTAAAAACAGAATTGTGTCTGGGTGGGTCTCCTCCATGAAATCCTGCCACCATTCTGTCTGGCCAGGGGCGGAAGAAGTTCTGACAAAGTGCTCAGTTATGTCACAACCAGCATTTCCCAACACTGACCCCACACAGACTGTGAGACCGAAAGGCACATCCTGCAACTTGTCCCAGCCAGAACCTCACTCTGCCAAGAGGGAGGAATAAAAGCAGAGTCTCTGACCCTGCCTGTTACCCCATTGGGCCAACATTCCCTCTCTCTACTCTCACCTGATCCTCCTCCATGTCCAACTGAACAGCTCTTACTGCAAAGATCACATGAACGTCTGGAACTGTCCCAGATTTAGGGACTCTGCCTAGCCACAAACAGGATGATGAACCAACTAGGGGCTTCGGTGCGTGAACCCCCTTCAAAGCAAAGAATGGATGTTGCTGGAGCATGCCCTTGAGTATCTTTCATCGAAGTATCTGATCCCATCTTTACGGGGATCCTGATTCCTAGTACTAACTTCTAAAAATTAAGACAACTTTTACTCAACTTTCAAAGCAGTCGCTCACAATTAAAATTGGTTTAACTTAAGATCCTAAAGTTGGACTAATTCAGCCCTCTATATCAGGATGTCGCCCGATCTGACAATTCATATAGAAAACAAACTAAACGGGGGCGCCTGGGTGGCTCAGTCGTTAAACGTCTGCCTTCGGCTCAGGTCATAATCCCAGGGTCCTGGGATCGAGCCCCATGTTGGGCTCCCTGCTCAGCGGGAAGCCTGCTTCTGCCTCTCCCACTCCCCATACTTGTGTTCCTGCTCTCACTATCTCTCTCTCTGTCAAATAAATAAATAAAATCTTTAAAAAAAAATGTTTAAAAAAGAAAACAAACTAAATGTACCTGTCAGCACCAAAAATACGTATTAATCAAAGGGTTTGCAAGGAGCAGTATTAGACAAAACAAACCCATATGCATTACAGAACAGAATAAAACTGAATTATTTTGGAAGCAAATATCTCAACAAAATTTCTCTGAAGTGGATGGACTTCAACTATGTTCCCAGAGTCCCTGAGGCACCTATTTATTTACTCTTTTCTGCCATTAGGAGTTCTTCAGTAGAAAGTGTGAGAAGAATGCCTTTGGGCGCCTAGAAGCCTAAAGCCTAGAACTCAAATGATATACGTATGCTTCCCATGGGGCATATTCTTTTGGTATCAACATCCACAAAGCCTCTTCATTACAAACTCCCTACCATACATGTGATAGATTTACAGCAGTGACCTCATCAGCATTAATTCCCCTTTCTTTCTCTCCTCTTCTTAACATGTTAATCAATATATCTGTTTGGTTATTCACCTACTTACATACAGCCCATCTACTCTGGAAAAAGCTGACCCTACCCCAATCTTAGGGGTGGACATCATTTTCTTAAGCCACCCAGTTCATTCTGGTCACCAGACCACAGACTGGTTCAGGAGTATGTGCGTAAATCAACTGGTCTACCCAGAGCTTTTGGTTTATAATGACAGGATCACAAGGGATTCTACTTCCAAAGTCAGCTGCCAGGAGATCCAGAAAATCACTAACAGTTATGAATGCTCTAGAAAGTTTGATAACTTATATCTAGAGGCCAAGCAGTCCCTTGTGAGAGCTCTGTGAAGGCAGGGACTATTTCTTATCTCCAGATACTGGGGGTATGGGGGCGAGTGGATAGATGGCAGGATGGAAGAAGAGGGTCCCCTGATCTTGAGCTGATTCACAAAGGGGCTGCTAAGTCTGTAGGGATAGCCAGAGTTCAAAAGTCTGAACTAAGGTCCTTCCATTTGCTGGCCCCCTTATCAACCATGGCTTCTGCAGTCAAATGCTCTACCTCTGAGCTATACCCCCTCAACCATGGCTTCTGAACATACAAATGACTGTTCAGTTTTTTCATATGATGGGTCATCGTGGACCATCACCCACTTTTACAGTATAAAACTATGAGACTACAAAAGAGATTTAAAAAAAAAAAACTGTACTTTCATTGTCTGGGAAACAATTTAAAAAAAGAGTGAAGTACAAGATAGTGAAATATTACATGTCATATTAACTTGGCCTCTGGCATCAGGCTAAACAATTCTGCAGCGACATATGAACAAAAGCAAAGCAGGAATAGTATCAAAGTAAGAGCCAGAACAGATTTCTCAAGGCTGGTGTACACGACATATGGGGTTGCAGAGGTGTGGTGATCAAATTTAGTGTATAGTATTTTTTTATTACCAAAAACAATACATGCTTGACTTAATGAGTTCTATAACACAGAGATCTAAAAGGGTAACCCTTCCCTGTCCCCCATATCTCATCCCACCCTGCTGTGGTGCCCAAAGTTAGCATGGCTTTCTCTATGTGCGTACAAGTATACAAACACATGTGTGTATCCATAAACCCCCCAATAAAAAAAGAAGGATCATACTATACACAATTGCTCTATAACCTTTTTTTTTCTGCTTAAAATAGAGAATGCCCAACCTTCCATTATGATGTATGTTTCGTTATAAAATGAAGGCACATATCTCATGGAAATGATAGCCCTCACATACCTTGGAAAACAATTGATATGAATACCTGGAATCTGAAAGCCATTTTTCTGCTTTGGTTTTTGTAATGCCAGAAAGGGCATTCCTCAAATGGTTAGAAAATAAAATTAGGTAGGGCTGAAACCCAGACATTTCGTCTGCTGAAGACCCATGAACATTAACATTTGGCGTTTTGTTAAAAAGGGAATTGTTTTATCTTAGTGGGCATAAAAAATCAGGTATGTGAATGCATATAATGTGCTGCTCTCCATCCCATTTTCAATCCCGCTAAAAGTGATCTGTGCTTCTTCGAGCCAAAAAGAAAAATGATCGGCAGTGTTGCTTACGATAGAATTGATTCCTCCTATCTCCATCTCAAAGACCAATGTTTAAAAGTCTGTCTTTTATTCAGTATCAGACCACACTTTGAATGAAAGCCGCAGAGCTGTAAGGTTTCCCACCTGAAAGCTGAGCTGCTCCACTCTGCGGGAAGGTGACGCCGGCCTCCCGGCCAAACCACACGGTACCTCCTCCCTGCCCTACAGCAGCACTTTATACCTTTGCCATCTGAATCAACATTTCACATAACTACATCTCTGAACTTAGGATCTGGTTATAGCACTAATATTCCAAAAGCAGTATCCACATATCTCAAGTGGTTGTCAACCTCACCTACTTTAAGCAACACAAATCAAGAAAGATAAAAAGTTCAAGTCCCACATGATGACTACCATTTCCTTAAGAAATGACTTATCCTGGGGCGCCTGGGTGGCTCAGTCGGTTAAGCGTCCAACTCTTGATTTTGGCTCGGGTCATGATCTCAGGGTCGTGAGATTGAGTCCCTCGTCAGGCTCCACGTTGTGTGTGGAGCCTCCCTAAGATTTTGTCTCTCCCTCTCCCTCTGCCCCTTCCCACACAAAAAAAGAAATTAATTATCCAAAGTCATCCCTGAAACATAACTGGCTAACTGGAAAGGAAAACTGTATGTGGCATAAAATAATATGGCTTTGCATATCACTTTTTAAAATATATTCGTTCCACAAAAGTAATAATTGATCATACTCCTATCGGTTACAAGCTCTCTTTTTATTTATATTTCTTCTTACTCTTCCCACATTGACAGACAGAAAAATACGAAGCATGTCCCAATAATCCAATTCATCTCCAAACACAGATACACTATAAAAAGAGGGGGAAAGAACTCAGGAGTAAGGCAGAATCTAGTAAAACCACTTCCGTCCAATGCATCCTGTTTCCTTCTCAGCTGCTGGGACAGGGGATCAGCACCCCCCTTTTCTTGGTTTAGTTAACAACATAACTCTACCTGAAGAGATAAAAACTTCTGGGCTTTATGCAAATTCCCAAAAAGCTGCATACGAATGTATTTTTTACTCATGTTTTAAATATATGTAAGGAACTCGGCAGCTAAACTAACAATATGAAATCCTTTATAAAGAATTTGTACAACACAAACATTCTCCTATTATTATATATCTTCACATGTTTTCATTTTTGTATATGACACTATACTTCTGTGTAGTGGGACAGGACTATTCCCAAATCTCCAGGGAGCAACCATATATCCTTATCTGATAGTCTGCTTCTGTCTCTCTACTAACAACAAATGTCAACAAGTTTCATGTCTTTTTTGACAGTTCGCTGCCTTGCATTTTAATGAGTAGCTTCTCAGAGGTTAGAATGCTAATTTTATGAAGGCATCCAAGAAGATGCCTACGGATTTTACAACACCTCTTGAATATCTGTTCCTCAGAGACAGGAACTCAGTATTCCTCTTGCTTTCCAATGCCTCCAACATCCAGTATGATACTCTGCACACAGTCAGCCCTCCATAAACACCATATGGAAAACAGACTCACTTGACTCTAATCGATATTACTCATGTGCCAAATGAGTAAAACGAAACTCATTCTGAGAGTATACACAAATACCCCTGGACTCTAATAAACAAATAGAAAGAAGAACTTTCTAGAGAAGAGAAGCCAGCTCTCGGCCACAAAATACAAAGTCTTAACCCCACAGATGACCTTCGGTGTATACTCACGTATATTTCATTATGGTCAAAGCGCTTCTTGAGGTTGTTGATGAAGGTCTCCTCGTTGAGAGGCTCTAAAAGAACCATATCTCCAACCCCAATCATATTGTCCAGAAGTGACGTTTTCACCTCCATTTTGGCCATTGTCTCTTCCTGTAAGAAAGAGGGGGGGCGAAGGGGAAAATGTAAATGGGCAAAATTATTTCAGATGGGTTCTTAGTACCACTGGAGAAATGAAACACCGGTAGTTTCAAATGGCGCTCATCTGCCTATCAAATGCCGAAACCTCCCCTCCAACCTACGTCAGAAGCCCCGGAGCTAGCCGCAGTCACTGCCAGCCCACTAGAAGCCCCATACGCTCGAACCTCCCTCCCAGTCCAGGCTAAGTCCATCTACAGAAGGAGCCACTAGGAAACCAGGCTCTCCGTTTTCTTTTTGTTTTTCTTAATTGAAGTATAGCTGACACACAGTATTATATTAGTTTCGGGTGTACAACATAGTGATTCAACATGTACATACATTACAAAATGCTCACCACAGTAAGTGTTCTTACAGTATTATTATAAAATTACTACGGTATTATTGATTACATCCCCTATGCTGTATTTCTCATCCCTGTGACTTTCTTTTGTAAGTGGAAGTTTGTGCCTCTTTAGACCATCCCCTCTTCCCAGCCAGAGGTTGCAAAACTCTAGCAAGAGAACCCAACCCACCCCTTTCCACCAGCCCTTGCATACCCATGTCAGACTTGAACCTGTAAGAAACTGCTTCCCCCAAGATAGCATCTCTCAGTACTTCATGATGAAATTCGGAATGTATTTTCCCAGGAAATAATGGTCTTAAGATGATACTAACATTTGAGTACTTGCTACATATCAGACACTGTATCAAGAACTTTACATGCATTCATTCATTTCATCTTCACAAAAACTCTATGAGGTAGATACTGGTATCATTATCCCCATTTTTAGATAAGGAAGCTCAGAGAGATAAGAAATTTTGCTTATGATTACTTAAGAGCGCATTACATTTTGTGTTAACTCAATCACCACTTCTAACACAACACCTACAGGGGGAAATTTCATTCCAGGCATCAGCACTGACTCATAAAGGAACACAACCCCACTGTAAATCAAAGGTTGCCTATATAACCTGCCAAGACTGATCTCGATGTTCTTCATTCTCATCCCAACACACACACCACTACAACAGCAAAATCAAATCAACATCCAATGAATAGACCAGAAACACTAGTTTCCCCCCAGCTCAGTCTGCAAGCCTACCAAGCGGAACAAACAAACCTTTGCACACTACAAAGGCAGCATTCTTCCCGTTCCACTAATGCGAATGGTACCACCCAAAAGTAGAATGTTAAATCCCCATGCCTTCAAATCTGATCGCTGTCAAGAGCACTAGAATTCTGGGGCGCCTGGGTAGCTCAGTTGGTTGGGCGTCTGCCTTCGGCTCAGGTCATGATGCCAGGGTCCTGGGATCAAGTCCCGCATCGGGCTCCCTGCTCAGTGGGGAGTGTCTGCCTCTCCCTCTACTCCTCCCCCTGCTTGTGCACTCTCTCTCTCTGACAAATAAATAAATTTTTTTTAAAAAGAGAGTACTACTGGGTATTTACCCCAAAGATACAAATGTAGTGATCTGAAGGGGTACGTGCACCCCAATGTTTTTGGCAGTGATGTCCACAATAGCCAAACTGTGGAAAGAGCCAAGATGTCCATCGACAGATGAATGGGTAAAGAAGAAGTGGTATACATATACAATGCAATATTATGCAGCCATCAAAGGGAATGAGATCTTGCCATTTGCAATGACGTGGATGGAACTGGAGGGTGTTATGCTGTGTGAAATAAGTCAATTAGAGAAAGACATGTATCATATGACCTCACTGATATGAGGAATTCTTAATCTCAGGAAACAAACTGAGGGTTGCTGGAGT